GCCGGCCATTAGATTCTTTATGATCTGAGAGATAACTCAATTTTATCTTCTTCAAACCATGGATATTTGGTTTGGCATGGCTTTGTCATATGTATTTAAATACAATCTCTAATTACTATAGATACAGTTGACAGCCAAAGTCCCATGTGCTTACAAAGGAGAGAGTTCTGGGTTGTCAAAATTATTATGTTAAGACAGTAAGAGAAGTTTCTTACTTAGAACTAATAGGCAGGGCTGGGGAGATAGCTCAGCAGCCTAAGCTCCTGCCTGGCAAGCACAAGGACCCAAGTTCGATCCCCAGTACCACATGCTGTGCTGGTCCCAGAACCCTGAGCACACTGTGCCAGACACCAAAACTGGGCAGGGTGATGTACACTTGTAGTCCCAGTGCTGGGGAGGCTGAGACAGGAGGATCACTATGAGTCCAAGCTGCATAGTGAGACGCTGTATCCAAAATAGATAAATAAATGATAACAATAAACTAATAGGCAAAAGTAACTAACTTCAAGAGGATATTTTTACATTTAAAATGGACATTAATAACTCACAGAGCTAAATACGGTCACAAGAGAATTTTTAAAAACATAAGCAAACATATTTTTCATGTGCAAGTTATGTTTTTAATACATAGATATCTATTCCAAGATGAACTGAAGCACAACAGTCCTGTAGAAAAAGGTAGAGTATGATTGCATTATTGGAAAAGGGACGCTAAAGTGTTCATTCTCCTGGAGGCTGAACAAAGTCCCTTCGAGCTGTGACACACCCTTAAACTTCAAAGCAGTGGCCATTCAAGCTATCCACCATCATGACCTGCCTTTTGATCTATGAGGCTATGCATTATTTACTGTATATGGACCACGAGGAGCAGGTGTAAAAGGAGGGGAAAGTGGAGAGGGGCTCTGTGTTTTATCTGGGTCTTATCTGGGTCTCATCTGAGGTGATTAATTGGGTGGTGTGGAGCCCTTCTAGCCCATGTGATCACTCTGAGAACGGGAAGAGCTCACTGTAGTGAACTTCCCTTGATAATTTCATTATCATTCCAGGAAAGCAGCCCATGGCCGAGCAAGTGAATTGTGCAATTCCCACATTTCTACATAGATTATCCCCCATGTGTTCAAGCTCAGTTTAAATGCTCTGTGATGATCAAATACCCCCAGCAGGAACTGAAAGGTGGGCAATTTTGAAGCTAGATATTGTACTTTACTACTTGAAATGCTTGTTTAGTGTGTTTCTGAATTTCCAATCATAAGCAGAGATTGCTAAATTACCCACAGCAATCCACCCTGCAGCACTTTAGAAAAAAAAGATGTCTTAAAAGACCAAATTTGAAGGCTATTATTGCTTTCTTCCCATTTAAATTTTGCTTCTTGATTATCCTGCTTTACTGTGAGGATTTCTAAACACAGTCACCTTTTAGAGACATCCTTTTGCTTTGTGCTCCTACCTGGCCCATGTGCCATGGAAAACAGCCACCTGACCCTGCTTTCCAAGAATCCCAGGTTGGGTGCTGTTTTCCTTGGTAACAGTGGGCAGAAATCAAAGGGGAAAATAGTTTTCTGAACAGAAAGAGAAGGGAACATCTTTTTTGTGATTGATTTTTGTCTTTTGCATACCATCTCTATTTTTATTTTATTTTTTATTTTTTTGCAGAACCGGGGATTGAACTCAGGCCCTTGAGCTTGCCAGGGAAGCGCTTATTCCACTGAGTCATCTCCCCAGCCCCACCATCTCTGTTTTTGACAAGGTCCCTCAAGTTTAGCCCCATGTTCCCATAGTAGAATCCTAAACACTACATTTCCAATCTCCCTTGCAGCTAGAGAGGTGCATGTGAGCAAGGTGCCACTGATTTTGTATCCTTATTCAAGGCTGACTTAGAATCAGACACAGGAATTTAGACAATGGTGGTGCATGGTCTCCATATGAGAAACCCAAAATATAAATAATTTAAGGAAAAATAAAGGAGAGCTGGTAGAAAATGGGGATAGATTTTTGGGAGATGAGAAGGGGAATGATAATGACCAAGATGCAATATAGATAAGGGCAAATTCCCAAAAACAGATGTAATTATGAAGTACTATAAACATATACTAAAAAACATCTAAAGACTGATTTGGGAGTGAGTCCCAGTGGGAGAGACTTGCAGGACACCAAATCCCGTGGGGCAGGTGGCGGCAGAGGCTGGGACAGGGGACCTCTAGGGTAACCACTGGATCAGCCCAAGGAGGGGCAGGCTGTGAGTACAGAACCTCCAAGTTCAGGCTCAAGCCTTGAGTCCCTTTTTTCGGTTCTGTCTTGTATCCTCTCATAAATTCCTCCTCTTCTATTTAAACTATCAAAGGTAGATGCTGTTACTGGGGGGGGGGGACCCAGTAGGCACATACAGGTGTGTATGTGGCATATTATCACTCACAAACAAGCTTGAGAAAGCTCTCCTGGTGAGGAAGAGTACATCTCTCAGTTATTGGAATTCTGATCCTGTCCTGGACTTAGCGTGGAGAAACCCTGCAAGGTCAGGAGGCCTGAGTGAGCTATTCTTATCTTTCAGCCTGAACTCAGGAAAAGTGCTTTCCACCAAAACTCAGAATCATGTACCTCTACTCTCGTGGAACAAGCAAACAAGTGACAGTTTACATGGGGTGATTCCAGCAGTGCTGCTCATGCCTAAGCAGTGTGTTCTCCCTGCCTGGGATGCCATCGCTAGAGAGAGCTCACCCTGGGTGTAGAAGAGAGTTTCCATCCTCATGGGTGTCCTATTGTTGCAGGCAGCTGAGTTAGATGGAAATATTACAGGCAGTCAGACAGGGCCAGGCTCTCAAGAAGACAAGATGGAAGACAAGGCTACTTTGCAACTTGGAAGAGACCGACACTCCCATATGGGCCACACCTCAAGACCAAGACAAAAAGAGGAAGCACAGCTACATACTTCCCTAGGGATGGGCATTAGGGATTGATATCCTAAATAGTATCAATCAACTTGAATGAGTCATTAGCCCAACCCGCAACAGGAAGAGACCCTGTTCCATATTTGTGCCCCCTTGCTATGTGACTCGCTTTCCCATTTGATACTGGATTTCATCAATTTTACCTGAGCAATGGTGCTTGTAATCTCATTGGTTGATCATAGTTTTGTCCTACCTCATGCCCAACTAAGCAAGTTCCCATGTCTTCTCCACCACCTTAGACCCGCCTCAGCACATAGTTTTTCTCTATAAAAGTCCCTGCAAGAGACAACTTCCTGGGGGGGAAACTACCTGGTCAGGGGTCCCCCTGCCCCCCCCCCACAGGAGCTTTCTTTCTCTCAATAAATATATTCTGCTCATAACCTCCATTTGTTCCTAAAATTCATTCTTCCGTTTTAGAGAACACGAACTCTTGCAAGTCAGGTCCAGAGATCGTTTTTCCCTATGTCATTTGGAGGTTCCCTATATTGTTTGGAGGTCACCCACCCGAGACCAGTTTTTCTCCCTGTATCACTATCAGAGGATGAATCCTTGGGAGAGCCTCACCCTTCCTCATCAGCTGCCATGGCTTTAGTAGTTGACACAACCTATGACCGCATTGTTGGGGAAAAGCTCAGTAGGGACCCTGAGGGGGAGGCTGGAAGGACACAGAAGACACATTTTGTGTATTTCCCCAAGTCTCACTTTGCATAAGTTCTGAATCAATACGATATTAAAAGAAACTAGGAAAAAATGCAACATTTCTTCTGTGGTTCTTTGGTAATCAAAATAAGAGAAAGATACATCTCTTTAAGGTTGCCAGTGTGGCTTTCCTAAATGAAGAAAATCTAAACATATGGCAAAAATGCTTCAAAATCTGTTAATGTGCAAATGTCGTGAGAAAATAGAGCTGGTGAGTGGTGACAAACCGCCAGGCCACATTCTTTGAAAATGGAAGGAATTGTTTGAATTCATCATATCTTTTTGCCGCTGAGCTGGCAATATCTGGCATGGGAGACAACGTCTCCTCCCAGACAGGCAGTGCAATTTTGGAACAGTGCTACTTCTAAATGTGCTGAAAACATTTGTTCTGTTTTGTGGTGGTTTGGTTTGGTTTGGCTTTAGTAAGAATCAGACTCCAGTCCTTGTCACTGAGCTGTATCACCGGCCGGTTTTTATTTTGAGACAAGGTTTAGCTGTCTCATCATATTGCACAGGTCTGGCTCGAATTTGCACTCCTTCTGCCTCAGCCTTGCAGAGTGCTGAGATTCCAGGCAGGTGCCACCATACCCAGCTCGAAAGAGAAATGTTAAGTGATGCAATACAGAAAATCTGGTGCCTGTGGATGTTTGGATCTCGGTTTTATTTACTATGTGGCGAGTCACCTGATGTCTCATCTCATTTTCTCATCTATTACATGAAGATGCTGATTCTCCATCTACAGGACTGTTAGAAGGGTATACCGATAGCATCAGCAGCATATCTGGTCATGGCAAGGACTGAAGAGAAGGGAGTGACTTAGTGACAGAAAAAGGGCTAGGTTCTATCTCCAACCTAGCCTAACTAATGGAGACAATAAAAGACCAGAATCTTCTGGAAGGGTTGTTAGACACTATAAAGACTCAGTAAGTGGCCTTCAGAGGGCAGTGCTATCAATTCAGCCTGACTTAATTCATGACCACACAAGGACTACTGATCTCAGCTATACTGTCTTCTCATTTGGATTTGAAATAAAAAAACAGTCTGCCCTTTGGACAATATGTTTAAGCTTTTATTGTGAATGATAACAGACTGGAGCCCTGAAGCCAATTAACAAATAGCCTAGCTGTACAAAGCAATCATTGGAAGACTCTGTTTTGGACAATTTTTTACAGCAAACAAGTTCAAATCAGAAGATACTGCTTGAAAGTCGTGAATTTAGTCAAGGTTGAAAGATACAAGAAGAGCAAAGTGTTTTGCACAAACGCGATTAGAGATCCAGTAGAATTGATGCTTGCAGAATACAGTCTTTTAAGGGTCTTGTTCTGCCCCTTTGTGGCCATTGTCGCTACTGGCTGTTTAGCTGGAGGCTCCTTCCTTCCCCTTAAGAATGTGGAGCACGTATTCTACCAACTTAAAAGAAAAACATTAGAAAGAGTTAAACAGACACATTAGAGACATGGAAGCGTAACCCATTTCCAACAGAACTTCAGGGTCAGTGGACAAATCCTTGAGTCAACATCAATCTGAGTAATGTAGAGGAAGAGCCTGGCAGGCCACTTGCCTCCATCCCCCACACATGCCCCCAGTACATCTGAGTGCCCAGTGTTTAAGAAACAATGACATTAATGTCCCCTTTTTAAGAAGCTGCATTTTAGGAGTCTTTTTGATGCAGCCTCATTGAATTTGCCCCTGATCTGATTACTCAGGTATGTTCTACCTGTTGTTGGAAGTCAAAAGTATTATTCCCAGGAATTTATGCCTAGAGTAGTAGCTGACAGGGAGGTGGAGCTTAATTCCCCTTGGCTTGCTTTGGCAACACTTCATCACAGCAATCAGACCTAGCTGCCACATCACACATTGCAAACATGGAATGTAAGTAGTAGTAGTGTGGGACATCTTGAGAAGAGGTGTCAATTTGAGTTTCTGCCAAAATTCTAAATTTACTGTGGTCTGCTTGTTGTGGCTTCTGCTCAGTTTAACTAAGACTGAAGAAAGAGTAGCTGTAATTAAAAAAAATAATAACAACAAGATAAATAACCCTCTTCTTTGTTCCCCTATAGCAATATTTCCCCAATGAGATGAGAAGCCAGAGCTTATTATCTTTTACCCACAGAGTTTATTACTCTTCCCAGGATTCTCTGGCAATTCAGATTCCCCAATTTCCAGACTGACTATTTATTTCTTCTAATAAAGGCACTACTGCTATTCTTAGGCAAATGGTTACCTGCTATGTGACTGCACTGTTTTGATCAGATGCTAATGAGCTCAGGGCTGGGACTCAATTCCCAACCTTGCCAATTAATGCTGCTTTCCTGGACCGATGACTGCACCGTGAATGGCCTGCATCCTGCCTGGAGGTACCACCATCCATCCTGCCATAGGAGCCTCTGATCCGAAAGACACTAGGGTGTAGGGAAAATCCATAAAGCCAAGGAACTGGGGGAAGTCCAGAAAGGTGCTCCCCTGCCTAGCCTTAAGAATTGAATTGAGAGGTTTTGCTCAAGGAATAGAAGCAAAATGGAAGTGAAAAAGATCTTCCAAGTGTAACTTTGGAAGATCAAGATGGTTGGAGGGAGTGAGGATCTGCGTTTGAGGTGGGAGGTTGGCTTCACTCTTCCTTCATTGAAACCATGGGAGTAAATGGCGGGCAATTAGTTATTCTGTAGCATAGGCTACTTTTTCTGTACGTATAACTACTTAAATATTAAGAAGCAAAACCTTCCTATGTCTCATGATTGCTGTGCTTTGGCTCTGAGAGGGGACCCTTCCAAGCGAGGGCAAGCTTACACATGGGCTTCTTTTACAGAACAGCCTCTACTGTCCATACCCCAACCCCATCTCCTTTCTTCATGTCCACTAAAAAAAAAGGAAAACCTTAAAGCTTCAAGAAGCAAGTAATAGTGCTCAAATTACAAGATGACCCCAAGGGCAACTGAAATCTTCACTGCATCACAGCACAATCTGGGACGATTATGAATTAGGCCCTGAAGTGGACCTGAATACACTCTAATGTTATAGAAACCATGGGACAACAATTCCATCACTTTCAGGATGAAGCTGAAGGACTTGGGAGAAGGGACAAGTGAAAGGATGGTCGAGGTTAACCTTGCAACTTGTCAGCCATTCTTGCTCCTAAAGTGCTGGAGCATGTACGCCATGACCAGGTAGTCCAGTGTCAATGCACATTCCCACACGCCCTCTTGAGTTAAGTACTGTTGTCATTGCAGCATGAGGAATGCTCTGGGAGAGCTGGCAACAGGATTCAAGAGCAGCATATGTGGATAGCTTTTAATGGATAGCTTTTAATTTTTAAGCCAAGTCCTTCAGCCTTTGAAATCTCCTGCTGCTAATTCTGGCAATACTCAGCTAAGCTGTTAAACTTTTCCACAACTCTGGGAGATTTATGGATTTCTGTTTTTTGTTTTTTTGTTTTTGGGACCAGGAATTGAACTCAGGACCCTGCCCTTGCCAGACAAGCGCTTATTCTACTGAGCTATCTCCCCAGCCCCTGGATTTCTAATAGAACTATTCTTTAAGCATTCCTCCTTTCTGAATAAGAATTATGTTTCCAGTTCCCATAACCACATATTTTCATTGAGACAGAATCTCTTAAGCAAGAAGAGTGACAAATTATTATCTTGGTCTCTGCAAAGAGTGTGTCGTCAAATTTGTTTTTCACGTTACTGGGAAAAACATGTTCAAAATAATAGGATCAATATGAACTGTTCAACTTGAGGTGGAATGAAATGGGATAAGTTTTTCTAAACTTGAAAAAGAAAAAGAAACACATAAAAAGGGTAGATATCAAAGTCTGATTTAAAAAAAAAATCAACCGCATTGGGAGAAAGAGTGTCCCTTTTTGAAAAGTCATTCTCCACTGCTGCCCACTCGATCCATCCACCACTCAGAGAAGTTTTGGGATAGTCTTTCATCCTTGTCTTTTTTTTTTTTTTTTTTTTTTTCATCCTCGTCTTTGAAGCACTGAATAGTCTTCCTAATACAGGAAGTTTTTGATACTCAAAGAAGGACTTCAGTTTTTGAAAGAATTCCCAAGACTGACAGAACCAAGTTTAGGGATCAAAACAGCTCAAACTGGATGCTACTGCTTGGTTCTAAAAATGAAATGCTATCGATTAATAACACAATTGTGCATATTGGGAAGGTAGTATTTTATGAGTGAGCTAGAAGAGTAAAGCTATTCCAATGTTTGTAGAAGTTTTTTTGTGGAGTTTTATGGTGGAAATTTTTGTTATTTTTCCAACAAATGAGAAAGGCACTATAGTTAGACATCCACCTAGAAAAAGCCCAGCAAAGCACTTTATCAAGAAAAAGCATGAATATGTAGGGGCTCAGAAGTCCATCACAAGCTCACAGAGCCTTCAAAGTTTGTGGCCCAGGAGCCAGGGAGATGGCTCAGCAGAATAAGCGCTTCCCTGGCAAGCTCAAGGACCAGAGTTCAATCCCGGTTCTGTCAAAAAAAAGAGACCCACTGGGGGCTTTCTATAAAGTTGGTACTTATTTTTGTAGTGGTTGTTTTAATCTAGATTTTCTTTCCGAATAAAAGCTACTGAAGGCTTTCTCTCTAGATGTCTCATGCAACAATTTAGCTTTTAATTTGCATTTGGCACAGAGAACTCTCAGGAGACATAGAGTAGTGAAGCAGCTTTCCTCCAGAGAAGCTGGCTGAGACCTGATAAAGTCAGCTAAAAGGCTCTGCAAAGTGACACTAATCAAAGAGCTAGCCACCATGAACGAATGAACCAGCAGGGTCTCCACTCTGTGGGAATGACAAGTGGTAATATGTATTGCAAGAAATAAGAAGGCCTGCTAGTGCTAGACACAGGTACTCTGCACATCTAACATCAAGGAGGGTCATTCCCTGGAGGTCCAGCTGGCCAGATCCGTCTGAGGCAGACTGAGCACAGGCTTTCACCCTGATTTCATCAAAGAAAAGATCTGTGACTAGTCTCAGTTTCCTTAGCTCTAAAATGGGCTGTCACTCAGTTCAGAGCCTGTGCTCAGCATGTTGGGAGCCTAGGGCTCAATCTCCAGAATGAGAGAGTATAAAGTCCTCCTACTAACACTGCAGTGAGTAAAAAGCCAGAGCGAGAGTGAGAGCAAGAGAGAGAGAGAGACTACTTCCTTGGATTATACTAATCATTCTTTAAAATGAGCAATTCCAATCATTGCAATTATTATTTTTACCTTTTATGTACATTTCACAGAAACTTCTTTAAAGTTACTATAATTACCTCACTTTTAGTTGTCTTGCTTTCTTCCTATAAAACATATTCTCTTCTTCATTTTACCTATTTTGTATCTAAATATTGCTAGAATTTACTATTAGACTTTTTCCTATCCTCTGTAAAATTTTATTCAGGGCAAACAAGCTGACCCCAGATGTATTCACAAAGCTTTGGAATATTAGAACTAACCCTGAACTCAGTGACTGTGGAACAAACAGGAAGAAATACCTTTTTGCATGTAGACAAGAATATTCTCTTGTCTTTTGTGAATAGGCTCTTCCTTCTACTGGCACTTAACAAAACTAAATATGTCTGTAGACTAAAAGGAATTTACTCAAACATAATTCATAGCTTCACTATCAGAATATTCTGGTAAGGCTTACAATGCATAACTTCAATAAACATGCTTGCTAATAAAACTACTAAGGGGTTGGGGCTATAGCTCAGTGGCATAAATGCCTGCCTGTGCCTAACATGTTGGGAGCCCCGGGTTCAATCAAGTATATATAAGACGAGGTCCTGAGTCTGACCCCCAGTACCAAAAAAACAAAAAACAAAACGAAACAAACACACACAACTCCTACACCAGAGCTTAGAAACAACAACATTTTTACATATTAAGAGGATCAGTAATCTAGTCTGTCAAAAAAGATACAGCATGGAAATTGTCTACTAGTTTGCTTACCATGCACTGGTGTTGGCCTGTGTAGTAGCTATAAAGGCATATAGCATAAGCAATTTTATTTTACTTTTATTTTTTGGCGGAACTGGGGATTGAACTCAGGACCTTACGCTTGCCAGGGAAGCACTTATTCTACTGAGTCATCTCCCTGGCCCCAAGCAATTTTATATTTCTCTAATCAAACTTCTTTCCCAGTTGTCCCTAAATATCTGTCACCCCACTTCCCAAGTGTGTTTGATGTCACTTTTGCTATTGAACCTACATCTTTCAGGTTGCTGCTATCCTCTGTGTCCCAAGTGAGCTGGTGGTCGCTTGGGGGCTTGAGCTGAGGTGACCGATAACTTCTGTTCCCCTTCACTTCCATGAAGCCTAGCAAATTCCTTGTAGCCTCTTCCCACTGAATGTCTTCCCTTCGATGCTCCTGCAGGCTGTCTCCCTCAAGCACAGGTGGGGATTCTCCTGTGCTCTTTTTCCCCATTAAGTGCCCTGTAAAAACAAAAACAGAAAGAAAACAGGAATGCACAGACAAGAAACACCTTTATACAGTATTGTGCTGCTTCCTTTTAAATGCAGAATGCATAGCAGTTAATGACTGAGAGTTAGTCTATACAAAGCAAGGATTTTGTTCTGTGTTCATAATGTGCAATGTGCTGGGTAGAATTCAGAACTGTACACCACGAACCCTGGGTTTGGTTCCAGCTCCTCTACTAACTAGCTGGGTGACCTCAGCCAACTTGCCTAGCATCCCCAGTCTTTAATTTTCTCAACTATAAGCGAATTGAGGAGGCTAGATTAAATCTAAGGAAGCTTCCAGATCTAAAATTTTATAACCAATTCCGAGGGTACTGACTTCTGTTCTCAACTGCAAGATGAAATTTAAACATCTTTCTCAGCCAATTGTGAACTGCTGCTGAAAATAAAAGTCTTGGTGTGTTTCTTTGTGTGATTTTTTTAAAAAAAGTGTTGCTTTCCCTTGTCTGTAATACAAATGTACCAAGGGAATTTTTCATTTAAACTTTCTCTCAGAACTTAAGCTGAGATTGAATCCAGGAAATGTCACCTAGAAATTATGATTTGTTAAGAGTAATGAAAAACAAGTTGAAAACACGTTCTGACTAATACTTGCCAGCCACATAATGCAGACGTTTCTCTTGGATGTGTGAAATAGCCAGTGGACGTGTCTTCGTAGTTCCAGAGATATGTACTTATCATATGAATACCATATACATAAGTGAAAGCTGCAGGTCTGGAGACAACATATTGAAAACATGCATGCAACACAGGATCAGAAGAGGGTACAGAGTTCAAATTCTGAATTTTTAAAAAATTTTATGTATTTGTTACAGGGTCTCACTACACAGTTCAGACTCATAGTGATCCTCCTATTTTCAGCCTCCCCAGTGCTGAGATTACAGGTGTGCACCACCACACTGGAACTTGGTGGTGGGCTCAGCACGCCCAGGGGTGGAGCCTGTGCAGCATGTGGTACTGGGGATCAACCCTGGTCACTGTGCTTGCCTAAGCAGGTGCCAAATTCTGCACTCTTAACACTTTTGTCCATTGCTTAACCATGCTTACATTGTTTGATTTTCTTCAGCTGGCTTTCCCCATGTTTCTGAAACTAGGCTTTATTGCACTTTGAAATTTCCGACATCAAACAAAACTGGTGTTTGTGGTTTAAAGCACACAAGGGAAAGGTCTTTGTGGTTGCAGCACAGACTGGTATTAGAAGTATTTAAGACAAACATCACAGAAATAATATTTGGAAGGTCTTCAGCCCTTAAAGTTGAAAGCGGTGCCTTCCCAACAGCTGGGTCTGCCAATAATGAATCTTTATCATCTTTATCATTTGTTGCTGTCACAGCCCCTGCAAGTCACAGTCCACAGAATGTTACATGAGGATTGTTTCATGTGATCCACACCATAGTAGTTTTCACTAAAATAAGTTTGGTGACAATAAGTCTTGCAGAGTGGACATAGGTATAAACAAGGAACTGAAATCAGCTCAGAGTCCAAGTTCTGGGATATTATACTACTTCAAAGTATCTTTTAACTTCCTAAGAAGGCAAGGAAGGAACACCTCATGCCTGGGTCTGAAAACAAGGATAAGGTCTACAAAAGGCTCTCTACTATTATAAAAGAAATAGGGACTAACTATATAGTGGTATGTATTGTCTTCTTATATGACTCACAAAAATTAGTTCTGTGAGTACCAGGGAACATTCAAGTGAGATCTGGAGTGAGCTCTTGCTAAGTCACTGTGACCTGAGACTTTACACAGTCTGAAGGCTCTACACAGGATACTCCTAGACTCAAGGACTGAAATTCTGAGTGCTTGGCTCTTCATTGATCTGCTTGGTCAACTTGTCTACCCACTAAATAAACTTGCGTTCAGCCCCAGCAGTGATTCTGGTTGCATGACTTCCCAGGAGGTGCTGGCTGATGCATCAGCTTCATTTACATGGAGGATACTAAATCATAGTGATTGGAAGGTAGGGCTGCAACCTTGATGATACTAGTAATGACCTCAGTCACTCTTGTCCTTCCTAATTGCCTCTCATTGAGTTAGGATGCTGGAAATGAGAGAGGAGTTATTGCCAAAGAAGCAGAGAGGTGATGGAGACAGTTTTGCAGCTAAGAATTCATTTTTGCCATCCTTGAATAAATTTGTGGACTTTTCTCTAATGGAAGGATGAAGTTATTGCCCATTCTGTGACTTATTTAATAAAGATCCTTAGGACATTAGTCTTAATTTCAAGACTTGCCTAGGTGGGTATGTGTGACATTGAATCCCCTACCCCTAATTATAACCTGGTTATTAAGGAAAGCATTCCATGAGCAACACTGAAGGGAAAAACACATTCCCTAGGTCCCATTGCACTTTTGAGCTGGCTACTGTCATCCAAAACATTGTTTCCATGACAACCTCATCATCTGTCACATGTCCATATCAAAAAAATTGGATTGAGCTGTGGGGGACTCAGGTCAATAATTTCTGACATTGCCAATTAAACAGAAGACCCAATGCTATTATGGGCTTCTGTATTCCTTTAGAATATTTTGCTGAGTTTACACACCTATAATATTCAATAACGGAACTTAGAAAAAATGGGGTATAACTATGAATGTCCATTTTGTATCTGTGTATTCAAAGTGGTTGGGATATATAGTTGCATTCTCTTAATGAATAGAATGATTTTTTCTAATGGTGTTTGTAAATAGTATCACAAGTCTGCATCTTGTACAGCAATTAACCACTAAGAAGGATATATGCAGTGTATTATTTGTTGAAACTGTACTTTCAATTTGATTTGAAACTGTCTCATTGCTATATGTTTATCAATAAAACTTTGAAAAGTAAAAAAAAAAAAAATTGGAGATCTCAGCATAGATAAAAGACAGGATCCAGAAAAATAAAATCTTGCTGGGGCAGGGGGTGGAGCTTCTGTCTGTTTTAATCTTTTGAAGATACCCTTGAAGGGGAGCTTGGAAACACAAACGAATTCCCTTAAAGTCAAAACCCGAAAATTATCCCAAATTAAGGAGGTATGCATCAAGATCAAGATAAAAGTATTGAGTACCTCTAAGCACTTGTGCATCTAGAGTCACACTACCCTCCTTCTTATGCAGAGGATTGAACTTGAGGCCTAGGACATGTTAGGCAAGGACTCCACTACTCAGCTACACCCTCAGTCCTGGAGCCACACTTCAGATTTGGTTTTCTAAGGCAGCACTACCATGTCAAGCCATTCCGCAGCTGAATACTAGTATTTCCCAATTCAGCCTCCGGGGACATACTTCATACCACAGTTACAGCCATCGCTAAGAAGATTTCATGGGAACAGAGAGAACAGTCGCCAGTGTTAGTGTTTATATATATTTTCATTGTGCAGCAAAATACTTCTATAAACATAGGGTCACATAGGAATGCATTATGTTTTCAAGCTCTTAATTCATTTTCCTTTGCTGCATCACACTTTTCTCAGCTGGAAGAAGCAATTCACTTAACAAGCCTGCAAATGTGTGCTGCCAGGTTCTTTGTGCACAAAAATATGTGTGTTAGTTTTACATTAGTTTAAACTGCATCCTTTGGCACTTGAAGAGGATAGGTACTGTTTGGGCAAAAATGAAAGCTAAATTTCTAACATTATTCATCCTCACTGGTACTTGTATTTCAACAATATGTCTACCCTGAGCAAACTTCTCAAGTACAGGGTAGCTGTAGGCTGAAATCTGATCTCCTATTTCTATCACTCTTTCCCTTGCTCTTCCTCAACTCCACAGCCAGCAAAGGGAGGAAACGGAAACAATGTTCATGAAAGGATAAATTTTAAAATGGTATTTGGGAATATACTTTTGGCATAAATATGCCAAGTATCACAATAAAGGGTAAATAATCAAGGATGCCCCAAACACCTGGAGACAGATGTGCTCCAGAACAACAGCACATTGGGGTCAGCTTGGCTTGCACCAGAAATAATCTGGTGCTGGCTTCCCAGCTAACTCTGGTGTCCTCCTTTTGTCCTGCAATGGTTACCTAATAGTGAACCACTTTAGTATAAAAATGGATGAAAAAAAACAGTTGAAGTCTCAACCCTCCCTTCCCGCTGGTGGCTGGTGGTTAGACTACTAGGTCTAGGGTCCCAGAAACACTTTTTAAAAATAGTAGAGTCTGAGTTTAGGTTCCCTGACACCTTCTCGGTATCCTCATCTGAAAGTGAAGGCCTTCCCAGCTCCCGCATGCTGACCCATTTGCTCAGAGCTCCTAGGTTCTTGGCTGCCCACGCACCCTTGAGCCCTGGTTCTGCCAGCAGATACTTGTAGCAACTAAGGAACCTGCTTTATGGCAACCCAGCATCTGGCCTCTCTGACAAAGTACGCACAACACTGAGAAGTCCAGGAAGCTGTTGGAACTCCAACTCTTCCCCACAATTCTCTAAGTGGCAAGGAGAACCTGTGAATCAGTTGATAACTGAAATAATACCGACCTTTCCAACACACTTTCCCTGCTTCTAAGTAGATGATTTAAAAAGTCCTGCACACACACACACACACACACACACACACACTTTCAATCTCTTCAGGGATGGACTAGATTCTCAGGAAATGTTGAAGCTATTGCTTTTGCCTGGTTGGAAGGAGGACCCAGGATTTGGACCCTTTGCATTTGTCCGAAGCTATTCCCCGCAAGGTCAAGAGACCCAGACTGCGGGTGAGCTGTCGGGAGAGGGCGATAGTGCTAGGCCGCTAGCAGCATCTCATTTGCAGCACCGCTCTAGGTGCCACGCTCCCACAGACCACAGACCCCGCACACAGCTCCCACCTCCGCCCACCCCCAGGCGCTTGAGTCTTCACCGCCGGGATTCCCAAGGCCCCAGTAAGGAATTTCCGAGTCGTGCCTGGACAGCAGGACTTCTTGGCAGGGGAAATGGGGAAAGAGCGAGGGAAGAGTGCCAAGTCGTGGGTCTAAAGACACGAGGAAAGAGCTGGGGGTGCAGGAAAGAGAGAGGTCAGCACCAGCAGCCGCCACTCCTGAAGCGCCCCAGCGCGCTGGCTGAAAAGAGGGAGGGGTGGGTAGAAGGGCGAACAAGGGAAGGAATTTCCCTGAAAGGGGAAGGGAACCGAGAAATCCCAGGAGCGCCACAAACGGAGGAGAGGTTCACCCCGGCGGCTGACAGAATTTGAAGCCGAGCTGGGAGCGCCGCGCCCAGGTCCTCACACCTGTGGCTCTGCCGGGCGCAATCGCGCAGCAGATTCCAGCCCTGTGCGATCGGAGTTGAAATGGCCGGGCTGGACCAGGCTCCGAGACTGCTTTCCGGGTTCCTCGAGTCCCAAAGTTGCTCAAGGAAAAAATTATGCGAGACAGGGTAAAGATTAGGTGGACAGAAGCAGGTGCCGGGTAGGTGGAGGAGGTACGGGGGGTAATCTGCATTCAAGCTTGGATTTGATTGAAGAACTGCGCGCTGGCCGGGATACCCTGGGGAAAACAGTGTGCCCACAGACGCGAAGCAAGCGGGAAAGGGTCGAGGGATCAGACCCATAGGCTCTCGCGAGTGGGAAGGGTGGGGTGGAGTTTTTAGGATTGCCGCAGGTGTTTCAGGGCAAACCCAAACCCAGGTCCCTTGGGGCTGGTTGAGCCCTCAGAGCACCAGAGCGCACGACCCTCCCTGCTAGGACACTCACCCACCGCCCAGTGGTTGCCTCGCGGGTACATCTTGGCCAGCACTGTCCCTCCGCCCACCGGTACCGGGGTGGCTGGCCCCAGAGGCGCCTGGCAGAGGACCAGCGCCAGCAGGACGAGCCGGATCTCGGCGCGACACATGATGCCGGCGGGAAGCCCTCGGAGCGCCACGGCGAGGCTGTGCGAGGCTGGGTGGCGATCGCGCTTTCCCGAGGAGCAGCGACGGGAGGACGCGACCTCGGAGCAGCTCCGCACCACTTCCGCCGTCCTCGCCACTGCTGTACCCTCCACTAGGGCCCCGACTTTATATAGAAGCCCTGTCGCGGGGAGGGGCTGGGGGCTCTTCCAACGCGGACCCGAGCGCTCTGACGTCTCCATGCAGAGCCGGGCGCCGGACGCCTGGCCCAGGAAATCATCCATCTTCCTGCGAGTGACGATAGGCTGGATGTACAGCAGCCCCGCTCTCTTTCCCTCCTGGTCCTGTCCGCGTACCCCACATCAGATTAATTCCTCCCATCCTCGACGCCTTGTTTCAAACCCAATTTAGTAAACTGCTTCCTTTCTAGCCTCACCCGGGCGCCTTCCACGTTGGAACCTACAAAAAGGAGCAGCACCCTGGGGGGTGGGGGCTGCTCTGGGGGTATAAAGGGGATGCGCGCCAAGGATGGACGCTTTGGGGCGCGGTTTTGCTAGAGGGGCATGGAGCCGTGATTGCCGGTACTTATGACATCTCGACATCTCCCCTGAGCATGCACCTCCCCGCAATCCCTGTAGACCTCACGGCGTGACTCTCTTACCGATCTCCACCGGTACCTCACACGGCTGCCCCCATCCCACCACGGCCTTCCAGTCAGCCCCACTCATTCATAAGGCAAGAAGGGGGATGTGATTAGAGCCGAGGCTAGTCGGAGTAAACACATGGTCCCTTCATTGAACACGCTGCTTCTGCACAACGGAAGAAGAAGCTGCTTCTCCCCGGATTTCGTCAGGCTGCACCAACTTGAAAGCACGGGTCTCTAGAGCTGCTCAAGTGTCCTGGGGTGCTCAGAGCTGAAGGCAGGTCATCAGCCCGACTCCTGAGTTTCTAAATGCCACGGGTGCTAAGAGGATGCAGCAATTAATAGAAGGTAGTGGGAGGCAGTCGCCCACATTTTGGCTGTGGGAACTGGTCCTGTGGCTGCGCTTGGAGTAGGGGAGGTCTACTCCTCATCCCGGCTGGCAAACTGCCTCCTTGGTGAGTCCGTAGTGTTCCCTGTCACCATACTGTTGCTATTGATTGGAAAATGTAGCTTCTGCCTGAGCATCCAGTGATTCAATACATCTGTGCCTGTCTTAGGTGGCCACACACATTGTATGACAGAATTCTTGGGCTTGGAAAAGTATTTCATGCATGTTTCCGGCACTAAGGGGAAATAATCTTTATCCCAATATCATCATAAGTAGTCAAGGAAATACAATGATACTATCCTGAGAGAAAAATCTAACTGTAAATCAAAATGAAGAGTCTAGAGTTGGCCTGGGCTCCATCTCTCCTGGGTTCCCTGCCTCTGCATTCGTCTCCAGACCCCATCTGTGAACAGATGTTGCCTGGCAGGTGACTGATCACCCGTAGGCTTCCATCTCCCACTCGGTGAGGCTGCTTACACACAGCAACGTGGTTGTGTTCTGTGCCTGCACAGTGCCTAGTGTTCTATTTGATGAGTGAAGGACTAATCCAAGAAAGGCTCAGGTTCATTACCTTCAATAACAGCAGGCCTTTGAGGAGTGTTAGGGCCTTTTCTCTCTAGATCATGGTGTAGAAATGTGTTCTTTCCCTTTAGTTTAATCAAGATTGTTTTAGAATCTCTTAAAGGATGCTTTTCCTCCTATGGAACTGAGGGGAAACCACTGTAAAAGCATTCAAAAGTAAGAATAGGGGCTGGGGAAATAGCTCAGCAGAATAAGCACTTGCCTGGCAAGCACAGGGTCCTGAGTTCAATCGCTAGTACCACAAAAAAAGAAAAAAAAGTAAGAATATGGGCATTTGATCCCTGGTCCATGCCCCGGGGCACACTGAGCCAGCAATTGAGTCCAGGCTTGGTGGTATGCACCTGTAATCCCAGCTCTGGGGAGGATGAAAACAGGAGGAGCACTACCAGTCTGAGCTGTGTAGTGAGACCCTGTACCAAATACATAAATGAAAAAAAAGGAAGAATAATTCTACAGAAAGCATACATTTTCTGTTGATGTAGGCAGCCCTTCGTGTGTGTGTGTGTGTGTGTGTGTGTGTGTGTGTGTGTGTTATTTGCAAGCCAGGATGTACTGGGTCCTTCCATTTACCCTAGCTTTTGCTCTAAATACACCAGCCCACTCTTTCCCATCTTGCAAGATGGCACGTGAAAAAACTGAGAAGCCAGGCACTAAAGAGAAGAAACCCAAAGCCAAGAAGGCTTCTGCCAGTGGTACTGGTAAAAAGGATAGGGTGAAGACAAAAAAGTCCAAGAGGGGGCAGGGCCACTGCAGCCAAAATCCTGTCCTGGTTAGAGGAATTGGTAGATACTCTTGATCTGGTATGTATTCCAGAAAGGCTTTGTATGAGAGAAATTACACAGCTGCTAAATCAAAGGTTGAGAAGAAAAAGGAGAAAGTTCTTCCTACAATCACAAAACTGGTCAGTGGGGACAAGAATGGAGGTACCCAGGTGGTTAAGCTTCGAAAAATGCCTAGATACTACCCTACTGAAGATGTGCCCTGAAAGCTCTTGAGCCACAGCAAGAAACCCTTCACTCAGCATGTGAGGAAACTTCGAGCTAGCATCACTCCCGGCACCATCTCGATTATCCTCACTGGGCGTCACAAAGGCGAGAGAGTGGTCTTCCTGAAGCAGTTGGCCAGTGGCTTGCTGCTTGTGATAGGGCCTCTGAACCTTAATTGTGTTCCTCTATGAAGAACACACCAGAAATTTGTTATTGCCACTTCTACAAAAATTAATATCACCAAAGTGAAAACCCCCAAACACCTCACTGATGCTTACTTCAAGAAGAAGCTGCAGAAACCCAGGCCAGGAGGGTGAGATCTTTGACACTGAGAAAGAGAGATACCAGATTTCAGAGCAGTGCAAGCTGGATCAGAAAGCTTGATTTTAGCAAAATCAAGCTCACAGATTTTAGACTCACAGATTTTAGCAAAAATCAAAGCTGTTCCTCAGCTCTGGAGCTACCTGTGATCCATTTTTGCTCTGACAAATGGAATTTATCCTCATAAACTAGTATTCTAACTTCCTTACTAAGAACCTAATTAAATAACTGACACATTAAAAAAAAATACCATACAAAAACAAAACAAAACAAAAAATACCCTAGCCAACAAAGTTTCTGTCCCCAATCTAGGTAGGACTAGTCCATGGTTACTGCTTTGGTTACTATAAGGGCAGCAATAACAGTCTTGTTCAGCACTGTATCCAGTGCCTGGCTCAAGCCTAGGCAAACACCTGGGATTCAGTAGCAGTGAATGGATGGATACATAGTCAGATACATATAGGAGATGAGTCTAGTCCTGTAGCCAGAAAAGTCAGCAACTTGTTACTATTCAATGTTTGATTCAGCCAGTATGAATGAGCCCCAATAGATCTTGGCTGGGTGTCGTCTCACGTGTATTTAAAAATTGTCATGACTACTAAATGATGTTCTAGAGAGGGGGCAAATTGATCACAGCCCCATGAATGAGAATGGAAAGAACCCGCCAAATAGGGCAAACAAACAGAGGAGAATAAGAGGTATACAGTAGTAGTCTTTCAGTTATTCTTTTGTATTCAGCAGCAGAATATTT